AGTTTCCTCACCCCGAGTTCCTGCTCAGCTCGCTGACACCGCCTCAGAGCTGCTGCATCTTCACAGATGATTTTCCTCCAAGTCCTGCTCACTTTCTTACAACTGTGAAGTTGAAAAAGGAAATGTAACATGCGATTAATAAGAGCACAAAATTAACAGTTACAAAGATTCAAAAATTAATTCTGTTATCACCTAAATTCAAATTTCCTTACTGCCAAATACATTTATCCAGATAGGACAAAGTGAAGGGTTTATAGCTTACCTAATGAGGTCCAAGTCTTCCAGAAAGGCCAGGATCTTTGTCAGGATACATCTCATGTTTCTGGCCAGCAGAGACTGAAAGATATCGCTGTACTCCAAGCCCATCTGACGTCCAATCACTCGATCCAAAAGAAAATTCTCTGCAACTTTTGTGACAATGCTCCAGTCGTACCTAACACGCACAGAAAGACAACGTTTTATAGCTGCCCAAGTGTAAACCAATCCAGATGAACACCCAGTTAAACGAGATGTCAAAATCTTACCTCTTATTCTTCTCATAGCTCTTAGCAAGTTCTTCACACACAACCCGCTGGAAGTTCAGTATAGGCAGGTGGCTGTCGCTGTGATGGCCGGATGGGGTGGACGACGAGTATGCCGCAGTTCTCCTCTGGGGACGAACCACAGGAGTGCAGACTGCCTCCAGTTGAATAGGGGTGCTCCTTACTTGACATTTGGAAGGAGAATTATGTGGTATTCCTTGATTTGTAGCAGTAGACGACACTACTGTGGACTTTCCCAGGATGTGGTCATCCTCTTCGTTCTCATGGCGATATTCAATCTGACTGTTTTGCAGAGACAGATAACCACTGTCCTCAAACTCCAGAGTCCTGTCATGCGCCATGCCAGTGCTGTTTTCCTTGTCGTGGATTGCACTGGTGTTGTTTTTGGAAGAGAACAACACCGTGGTCACCTTTACAGGGGAACACTGAGGTTTGATGGGGATGGGCTCTTTTACTGGGGAAGCTTTGGCCTCCACGGCAGAGGCTCTTGGAGATTCGCACGCGGCAAACTTCATGATGATTCCGTTAGGATGAGACATTCACTTTGCAGATTTCTAAGTACAGGAGAGAAATAACAAGATTGTGTTAGGTTAGGTTTTGCAGAGTGCACGGGACTGAACGCAACACAGCTTCCCAAATGCAAGCTAACCAGGCCACATTAAACATCAAATTTAACCTATGAGTGGCTAGACAGGGAATAAAGCTATAATATAAACACTGTTGTTTAAAAGAGAAAATAAGGTTGGAAACTTTTCAATAAGATAGTTTTCCAAAGTCTTGAATTTGGCGCGATGCAAATTTGGCGGAAATGTAGCGATGACGTGAAGCTACTCGGTTTTCGCCCATTTTTGGTGTCTTTGGTCAAACGTATGTCAAATAACATGAACTGGACATTAATGAGAGTGTGACGGGCGTTAAATAAAATTCTGTTATAATACCGAGCTACATTTGCGTGGTCTTAGTAGTAGTAGTAGTAGTTTGCACCTAAGAAGCTACTTACGACCAACTCCTCATACCGCGAGCAGAATAACATTCCGCTAAAGAGAACTGTTAAAAGTTTAGAAAAAAGTACGTCACTCCTCTTACCTTACTGTTGTTATATCGTTATCCACAGAAGAGTCCTTTTATCAGGTCAAGTATCTTTTCGACTGTCGCCCGCTCTTCCCAGATTAAATACTCCTCAACTGAAAATCCGCCAGTTGCAGCCACTCTTTTGAAATCGGTGCGCAAATGGCGCAAACCAATCACAGTACAAGGGGAGGTTGTCTCTTTAAAACGTCAACAAATGAAAGCTGGCTTCAGTTTCGGTGACGTCACCACGCAGCGAACGTGTTCCCACTGCGAAACTGTCGTGAAAAAAACATGGCCTTTCTGAGCGCCATTCAGCGTTTGAAGCTAATGTAAACAGATATATCTCACGCACTTAAACGTAAGAAGTTTCTAAACGTTAGCCGATTTGAAAATCGTGGCATCCTCCGGAACTTAATATATTTTGCAGACCGCAAATATGCAAAAAACAAAATAATATTTCCAAATCCTATATTTTGAATATGGACATGAACATGGAATATGAACATGGTACACGAATATGAACATGGTACACGCGAAATAAGCCTTTTAACCTTCTAGGACCTGGCGTCCACATATGTGGACATCACATTTTGGGTTATTTAGACCAAAATACTGAATTTTCCTCTACAAGGGCCTGATATCCACTTACGAGGACATTATACTGCTACAGTTTTATCAAAATTTTAAACGAATATCCTCATATGTGGCTCTTATTTTTCTTAAAAACAAAAATAAGGTTAAAAATAAATCTGGTAATTATTTGTTTTTACATTCATCGGGCCCCAATGTGACCAAATATCAAAGAGAAATTAAAAATGCATGGAAGAGTTCAGGTCTTAGAGGAGGTTAAAGTCTTTTTTTAAAGTTGGTATGTTCGGAATCTTTAATGCAGCTTGAAATTGGAGTTACTATTGAATAATTCTGTGTTGTTAACACTGGAAAAAATAAAATTATGCATGCACTAATTAGGATATTTTGGGTGAAAATCTATACTACTGTTTAAATAGAAATTATTAAAGAATTTATAGAATTTATTATTAAAAATCTTTAGCTCACAACCTTTAACCAATTAGGCATACGATAAACATCAGCCATTGCTTGGTAAATACTGGTAAATACTGGTAAATAAAATACTGGTAAATTCAATTACCGATTAATTATTTGCAGGGTTTCTGAAAACGCCCACGGATGTTTAATCAGTGTACCTGATTAATATTTATGACTGAAACAAACACTCCAGTTTCAGGATGCTTCACACATTTAAATGGAAAAAACAATTTTCATTACTGGGTTTTATTGAGCCTGTTCTTAAACATGAATAAGAGACTCTTTCCCCAATTCTGCCATGACTCCCACTGCTTGACAAACAAAAGCTCTACAATGCAGATAATGTACAGGATGGTTAAGTTCACACCCTGCCTGGAATGTGTTAAGTAGCTCTTTCGCTGAAACCAGTGGGGGAAGATGGGGGATGTAATGTAGGTTTATTTCCAGACAGTATCTCAGCTTTTTTCCTCTAACACTTTTCTGTTATTTAAGTTATAAAAAACATAATCAGGATTTCTGTATAATTTAATATTTACAGGACAGTGAAATGGGAATTGTTGATCAACTGGGAGAAAACATGAGAGAGGGTCACTGAAGATGTGAGGGCTCATTTTGCATACTGGAGTCCACCCTGATAAGTTTAGTCTCTTGATCCTGTTGTCAAACTCTAATTTACAAGTTTAGTCCCAGATACATTTCAAAGCAGCTTAAAGTCAATAAAATGCTCAGAATCGTTTTTTAAAAGCCACAAAGGCCATTCTTTGCTATTTAGCTTACAGTTTCTGCAAGCTAAATGTGTATATGTAATAATGTTATTTAACAGTCTGTTGTATACGACTTTAAACTTTAAAAGCAGTAATATTTTCCATTAAATTTCACATAGTGGGAAAACTGTGCTATTTTTCCTAGCACTGAACAATCTACTGTGGGCCAGAGCAAGCCGTAAAGCAAAGTATGTACCAAGCAAAATGATGTGTTTGTATTGATGTGTTGATGCTGATATTAGAGAGTTTTGTTCATGCATGTGTGCCGATGAATTATTGTTTGTATGTACATACATTCCCAGATTTAAGACAGAACACAGTGAAATACCTGCACCCCAGACCACATATGGTCCCTGCTCATCCTCTTGATTGCCAATTACTTCCAATATAATATGGGTTTCAGCATTACATTCAAGTGGCATGTTAATTAATCCTAATGATTCACACCATGCCCAAGCAGTGGGGGGTCTACAATTCACATGCAATATCATTGACTCCAAACGCCATGAGAGGCCACTCGAAACCCCCCACCCCCACAGTTAATTAAAAACAAAGTAGCCTTGTTAATTAGTAGCAACAAGATTATGCAAGACTGATTAGTATAATTATATATGGAAGGATATGTTTATCTTGGGGGTCAGGGATTTATTAACATTACACATTTGCACATCCAATAGGCTAAATTCATTCAAATGTATTTCTAAAATATCTGATATTTGTCTTTTCCTTGTCTGTTCAAGTAGCATTTACAGTGTGGATTTTGTTGACAAGTTCATCAAGGATGGGAAACTTACTGAATTTAGTATTCATCTATATCATTAGCTCAAAGAAGAAGGTGTGCTCATATCTAAGGTTAGTTTCAATAAGTTTGGTCAAAGAATAACAGGGGGGTCATTCCATCTTAAATTCTATAGGGAGATTGGAAAGAAACAAATTGGACTTCTTTAAGTTACATGAAGACGGTTCACCTCTCATCTGAGAGGCTTCTTCAGTTGTGACAGTTTCTGAAGGGTAAATAGTTATATCCTTCAAAAATGGGTAATAAACATGTTGAATGACATGAAATTCTTAGTCACAAATATGAAGAAAATGCCATTTTTATTCAACTTTCATGCCGGTTTGAGAATATATGATAAATTATACCATAAAAAAAACAAAAACATCAGTATGTAGTCTAATTTGATTAGACTATCTCTTCCAAGTCAACAAATTGGTAGTCAGAAATTAGAAGTAAATATGAAATTACAGTCAAACTGAAGCTGGAAGCATAATGAAATCAGAAGAGGTTTAAAAAGAAAAGGTAAAGTTACTACAGTAAACTTGCAAGCTTATGGCTAAATAGTTTAGTAGAGCTACTGTGTCTGTGCATGGGAACAGCGTTATTATTGTTATCATTATTGTTGTTGTTATTGTTGCTGTTATTGTTTACCACAATTTCAGATCATGTGTGGTAACCCATTCTTTAGTTTCTCATTGTGGCCAGGTGCAGTACACAGCACCATCCAGAAGGTGGCAACAGTGAACTAAAGCTGTTTCCCAACCGCAAGAAATATGAAAAAAAGAAGAAAATGTTCAATATGTCTGCGCCCTTTAGCAAGGTGGTAACGACGCAAGCTGTTTGTAAATGATGTTAATAGGACGTTTCTAGACAATGTTTAAAGAATTAATGACTGGAGCCTGTTCCGATATAGCCACCGCTAACTGGAAAAATGGATTAAAGCATTCGGCAGCTTGACATTTGATTTCATGATCACGTTGAGCTAGCAGGGAACCTTCAGTGAGTCGTTTACCTCAGATATTCATATCATGTTTTTGTAGATTAGTTCAGACTTAATAGTAAGAACCCCGCCCATCAGCCATGTTTTGTCAAAGATTTTCTAAATCCAAAAGAATAATCTGTTGTTGGTTGTAGTATTCCACATTATAGCTGCTCACCACTGACTTGAACCTGTTACAAAATTTTTAAAAAGGTAAAATTACCACTACCGTGTTATATTTACGCCGAATTGAAGAATTTTTCTTCACTATATAGGCTGTATCGTAACCCTTGTGTTGTCCTCGGGTCAAAAATGGTCGCTAGCATCTGGGAGTAATTTATTTGTTTTAAAACATAAATAAATATCAACTTTTGTATTTTTGAATGAGATTTGGCTAAATGGACTAGAGACCGGCAAAAATCAAGTCTGTTTACTACGCAGTGAATATTTCAGCCACATCTACATGTAAAATGGCTTACAGAAGACTTGTAAACCTTCTACCCAGAGTAAAAGAGTCTGCCTATAACCTATGGATACCTCACTTTCAAAAATCACCATATGTCTTAAACCAAACTGTTGAAAATAGAGCTAAAAGAACTCTTTACACCAGCACACCACTGATGGTGAAGTTGCTGTCAGTGGATGAGATTTTTGCCAGGAAGTCTCTGCAGGAGCACCTGAGGAAGACTGAGGGCCAGTACAGCGAATGTTTACAAGCCATCAGTGGTAATTTGGGAGAGGAGCAGTGCAGTGAGGATGAACTGAAGGCCAACAGGACCAAAGTGTCCCTTCTGGCTCCTCTTATCCAGACCATCAGAGAGCTGGACACCAAGCAAAAAGAGATTGCAGAGACTGAGACACTTCTGAAAGGTTTGTGGAGAAAGATCTCTAATTACTAAGCCACAGTTGGCTCTCACTTTGTGAGAGTAGAATCACTCTCAGGTCATGGTAAAAATTGTATTTGTGTCCGTTTTTCCTCAAAGATGAAGACCCATCTTTGCGGGAACTGGCAGAGGTGGAGAGAGCAGGCTGTTTGGAAGATATTCAAACTCTTAGACAAAAGGTAGAAACTTGATTTTTCACTTTGTGATATCAAGGTCTCAACCGAGCTGTTGGTAAATCTTATTGAGTGCACTGACAGCGTTTCTCTTTGCATTTTCAGTGTTGTTATACTTGTCGCACACCTGACACATTATCACATTTCTCTTGTTAATCAACATGCATCATCAAATCAGATTCTGGATCTATTGATTCCAGAGGAGGAGACTGATCTGAGTGACCTTGTCCTGGAGGTCACCGCTGGCGTTGGTGGTCAAGAAGCCATGCTGTTCAATGCTGAGGTCAGGAAGTACATATGTGTATTAGTTATTTTAAATTGAATATTGCTATTGCAGCAGGCCAAAAACGGGATGCTCACAGACACACATGCCATCTGCAATAAAGAATAAAGCGAAAGGTTTTTTTTTTCTTTATTTACATGCCAACTTCCTCTCCCCTTAAGGTGTTTGACATGTACCAGGGCTTTGCTCAACACCACGGCTGGTCCTTTGACATCCTGGAGCACACAACCAGTGAGATAGGTCAGTGGACACATACATTTCTATTACAAAATCTTCCACATATGTATTTTTGCCATCATATCAGGGTTAAACCTTTTAAGAAAACTATCATTACAGTTTTTTTTAAAAAAAGATTCCCTTAATTTATTTATTGGATTTCCAAATGAAGGAAAGAAATTAAAATAGATCTGTTCAGTTAAAGACACAAGCTTAACATCCAGAAGCCAAATTTCAAATTACTATATTTACTCAATGATATATTCGTAGCAAAGTAATAATCCTAAAAGACAAAAGAAAGCACAAACAAAAATAATGCCATGCACTAAGAAAACTTCACAGAGAAACAGAAATGCTTGTTTAACAAATTTGAGAGAAGAATCAAAACTAATCAAGAATTATTCTTGATTAGTTTTCGGTGGTCTCAGTCACGTGGTCACTCTTACGCTTTTATGGATTTTCTCTTGTTTAGTATCTGTCAGAATCAGAGTGAACTCAAATTTATGTGTCCTTTCCACATGAAAAAGACAGTGTTTGGCAATTTTTCAGCTAGTGACTGAAATTTAGGTTATGAGGTGTTGTCTAATTTAAAAAAGAAGAAAAAGTAGATTTGTAAAACATGTGTTTACAAAAAAAAGCAAAGGCCTGAGGTTTTGATTTAGTAAAATTGTAATAACTTATATCAAGCACAAGAGGGAGCCCTTGTGTCACAGAGATGCTGAATGTTTGGCGGTATGGATTCAAATAGTGCCAGTAAACAGTGGGCAAAAGTTCATTTTTAAACTTGTAATCTAAAAACATGCACCAAAACAAATACTTTATTCATGGTCACATTAAAAGACTCAATTCACTCAATTCATACCTAATTTTTTTCCATCTGTTTTTGTATTAGAGTAGTGACATTTTAGCGGTTGTTATAATAAAACAACATCAGGGAATTCAGCTTTTTTATGCTGCAGTGCTTAACAAATTCCTTAGACCACCTATTGTAAAAAACCAAAACCCAAAAAACAAGAATACACAAATATTAAATGTATTTATGTTAATCTATGTTAATTATTTGCCAAATAAAAAACTGAATTCACATTTTTTCACTGCTCACATATGAACAGGTGGACTACGTCACGCCTCAGCTAGTATCAGCGGCCCTCAGAGCTACAAAAGGATGAAGTTTGAGGCAGGAGTTCATCGCGTTCAGAGGGTTCCCAAGACTGAAAAACAGGGCCGGATGCACACCAGCACCATGACTGTGGCTGTGCTGCCCCAGCCCACTGAGGTACAGCTGCACACGATAGATGGATGTATGCAAATAACAAGGATGCTGTTAAAACAGCTCAGTTTGCTTAAATTAATCCTCAATAAACTTACAAAGTTTCCAGAGTGTTTTGTTCTGTTTAGCTGCTGCTTATCTAAATATATGTAGTATGTGTAATTTGTAGTGTTTGTGTGTGTTCTTGTCAGATCTCTTTCACAATAAACCCAAAGGATCTCAGGATAGACACTAAGAGGGCGAGTGGAGCTGGAGGTCAACATGTCAACACCACAGACAGCGCTGTCAGGATAGTTCATCTTCCTACAGGTAAAAACTGTACAAACTGAATGCAATACATGGCAAACAAGTTTCGGGCATCTTTTATTCTTTCCACTAATGGGGAAAATAGACTGTTTTTCATAGACTATTAATGAAAGGAGATGACAGTGCTGTTTAAAGTGGTTGAAAGGAGCTAGGTTAATTGGTGATTGTAAGCTGACTGTAGGTGTGAATGGTTGTTTGTGCATATGTATTAGCACTGCAACAGACTGGCAACCTATCCAGGCTGTACCCTGTATCTTATCCAGTGGATAGGCTCCAGATCCCCCACGACCCTGAATTAGATAAGGGGAATAAAATGTAAGGATGGATAAATGCAGTAAAGTAGATCTTTATTGTGTGTTTGTTGGGCAGGTGTGGTTGCAGAATGCCAGCAGGAGCGGTCCCAACTGAAAAACAGGGAGAAAGCCATGAAGTCCCTGAGAGCAAAACTGTACAGCATGAAGCTGGAAGAGGAGACCAGCAAACGCTACAACCAGCGGAAAATACAGGTGGGACACAGTGAGATACAAAAGACAGTTAAAGGTAAACCACAGGTGGAAACTATAAAATACAACATAAAATACAGATGTGATGCTTTATCTCTAAAACACTGACATGATGTTGAATTCAACTGGTGTGAAAATATAATGAAAACAAGGGTAAGATATTAGTGGTTTTGTTGCTAGAAGTAACAAACATTGCTAAATTCAGTGCTTCTCCTCTTCCTTCTCCTCCAGATCGGCACTAAAGGACGATCAGAGAAGATTCGGACCTACAACTTTTCCCAAGATCGTATAACAGACCACCGGATCAGCTTGACTCTGCACGATTTAAAAAGCTTCCTGCTGGGAGAGGATCTTCTGGATGAGATGAACTCCTCACTTCAGGAGTTTTCCAACCAGGAGATTCTCATGGAACTGCTGGGAGAAAACAGTCAGGACAACTCATGAGTTTGTCTCTGACAGAATGTGCATTTATTTCAGATAATAATGTAATGCTGGTCATTCCTAGACTGTGAAAACTGTGTGGGGAAAGAGAAGATGATGCATTGCACAAATCTCAGCAGTGCCTGATACGAGATGCGTATCTGAAAGTGATAAGCAGCGTCACAACAAACAAAAAAAAGTGGCAAATAAAATGTATGAGCTGCACAGTCATCACAAAGTCGTATGTTTTGGTACCTCATGAGTTGAAGAAAGAAAAATTCAAAAATGTAATTCTAACACGTTTCATGCAACAGAAATGAAAATGAACACAGCAGATTCTTCATCTGTTTTCATTATAACAGCAGATGGATTCTCCAGTGATTCTCATGCTGGGCAGCCTTCAAAAAATGCTGCCAGATGTGTAACAAGTATTAACTGGACAGGACAAGGCAGGAATCTGCTGCCAGGACAGTCTGAGCTCTTCTGCAGGGGGTGCGTTGAGATGGAGGGCAAGGTGACTCTAGCCCCTCCTGATCTATTACCCAACCCCAATAAGCCAAATCACCGAATCACACATGTGAAGCTACCCACTCACTGTGGTGACTCACTGTGACCAAGGGAGAAGCTGAAAAAAACTTTAGGTGATTTTTTTATGTTAAATGTTCGTACTGCTTAAGCAGGGTTATAAATTTTCTCTGCTTCCTTACTACCCAAGAGGTCATCACAGCAGATGGATCTATATATTTGATTTGGCACAGATGTGACACCAGATGCAACAACCCTCCTATTTATCCAGGGTTATGACCTCTGGTCTCAAACTAGGGATGTTTTTAGGCAAACATGTTAACCACTAGACTATGGAAACACTTCAGTAAAGACTTTAAAAACTTGTTCCACCAAAATGCAAAACAATTATTTAGTACAACATGCTATTTAATCTCTTGCACAGTGCTATTAATCATATACTGTCATCTATATTGCAGCATGGGGTGGGAAAAAAAAGTCTGAAAATCAAGCCCAGTGATTTACAGTGCTTAATAAATTTATTAGACCATCTGTCCTAAAACCAAAGATTTGTTTAAAAGTTATATTTATTTATTATTTAAATAGCAAACTAAATTCATGTTTGTATATCTCAATTTGAGCTCACTCACTGGGTACAAATGAATCAAGCATAACTGATTTTTCTGCTCAGGAATGCAAGTGGATTACTTTAATTTGGCACTTTACTTTAATAAAAAAAATAACATGCTTTACTGTTTCCCCAAAAAACAGAAAAAATAGTAGATTCGTGGACCAGAACAATAATTAGATTTTAGCATTAAAAATACAATTTTGATTAAAGAGCTTGCACATACTCGTGAATTAACCATTACAGAAGCACATAAAATTATTTTGGTAACTACCAATACTGGTAATTTAAGGCAGCTGTGGCATAAACTGTAGATTGAATGGTAGTATAATACATTTGTTAAGAACTGTATACACCATTCTTGTTGAACTGAATCTGATCAGATATTCTGATTTTAAATTTCCAGTGGACCCCCTTAGCAACCTCATTTTATTTATTTATTTTTTAAGTCTTTGAGTCACCCTGTTTCTTGTGGGATCTTGCTCTAATTCAACCAAAATGACCTAAGTACTGTTCTCTCTCTGTCTCTCTTTGTTTTTAAGATATGGGGTATTGTGCTTTATTTTTATATGGATGGAAAATACATTAAAAGAACCACCCTAGACCACATTTGCACTTTCTGTATTAAATAGTGTAAATTCTACTTCGTTTATTTAGAAAATACACTGCTCAAAAACAAAATACAGGGAACACAAAAATAAGACATCGCAGATCTGAATGAATGAAATATTCGTATTAAATACTTTGTTCTTTACATAGATGAATGTACTGAAAATAACATTACACAAAAATTATTAATAGAAATCAAATTTAGCAACCATGAAGATCTGGATTTGGAGTCACACTCAAAATTAAAGTGGAAAAACACACTACAGGCTGATCCAACTTGATGTAATATCCTTAAAACAAGTCAAAATGAGGCTCAGGGCCTGGGCATGCTCCTGATGGGGTGGCGGATGGTCTTTTGAGGGATTTCCTCCCAGACCTGGACAAAAGCATCCACCAACTCCTGGACAGTCTGTGGTGCAGCGTTGGTGGATGGAGCGAGACAAGATGTCCCAGATGTGCTCAATTAGATTTCAGCACTGGGGAATCTTGCAGGAACTGCTGATACACTCCAGCAACATGAGGTCTAGCATTGTCTTGTATTAGGAGGAACCCAGGGCCAACCACATCAGCATATGGTCTCACAAGGGGTCTGAGGATCTCATCTCGGTACCTAATGGCAGTCAGGCTACCTCTGGCAAGCACATGTGGCTGTGCAGCCCCCAAAGAAATGCCACCCCACACCATTACTGACCCACTGCCAAACTGGTCATGTTTGGCATGTTTGGAGGATGTTGCAGGCAGCAGTCTCCACGGCATCTCCAGACTGTCACGTCTGTCACATGTGCTCAGTGTCAACCTGCTTTCATCTGTGAAGAGCACAGTGCACTAGTGGCGAAGTTGCCAATGTTGGTGTTATCTGGCAAATGGCCAAATGTCCTGCACGATGTTGGGCTGTAAGCACAACCCCCACCTGTAGATGTCGGGCTCTCATGCCACCCTCATGGAGTCTGTTTCTGACCGTTTGAGCAGACACATGCACATTTATGGCCTGCTGGAGGTCATTTTGCAGGGCTCTGGCAGTGCTCCTCTTGTTCCTCCTTGCACAAAGGCGGAGGTAGCGGTCCTGCTGCTTGGTTGTTGCCCTCCTATGGCCTCCTCCACGTCTCCTGATGTACTGGCCTGTCTCCTCCATGCTCTGGACACTACGCTGACAGACACAAAAAAAATCTTCTTGCCACAACTTGCATTGATGTGCCATCCTGGATGAGCTGCACTACATGAGCAAATTGTGTGGGTTGTAGACTCCGTCTCATGCTACCACTAGAGTGAAATCACTGCCAGCATTCAAAAGTGACCAAAATAATTCATCCAGAAAGCATAGGTATTGAGGTCTGTGGTCACCAACTGAAAAACCATTCCTTTATTGGGGATGTCTTTCTAATTGCCCATAATTTCCACCAGTTGTCTATTTCATTTTCACAACAGCATGTGAAATTGATTGTCAGTCAGTGTTGCTTCCTAAGTGGCTAGTTTGATTTCACAGAAGTGCGAATGACTTGGAGTTACATTGTGTTGTTTAAGTGTTCCCTTTATTTATTTATTTATTTATTAGCAGTGTAGTTTGGTTGGGCGCTCGTTTTCTTTATGAACTACATCACCCATAATGCTCAGTGCGCTAAGGGAGCTTAATAGAGTGATGGGCTCATCGGTCTACTCCTCAACATCGTCCAATTTCTCCCAGCAGTCGCATCCTGCCTGCAGCTCCATTGCTACCGTTAGCTGGGGCTAATAAGGGAGTAGCAAGTCATTTTTTACACAGGGAATTTCCTTTTTATGTACCTAGATTATGTCATTTAACTAAGCAGTTTGTTTGGGAAAATGAATTTGACTTTTTTCCGCGGCACGGCGTCTTCTGGAAGAAAAAATTATCCCTGTAAAGTCAGTGTTTTTTCGCGGCAACCTCGGTAGCCGACCGGGTTTAGCAAGTCAATTTTGGTAACAGATTCATCTGTCCGCCTCTGCTGCTGCTCTGTCGGGGGATATTTGGACAAAATCAGTCAGATGTTGGACGGTGAAAACAGCATCGGAACTCTAACATTTTTACGCCGGGTTGCGAAGTTGAATTACCAAGGTGAACATCTTTCGAGAAAGAGCCAGCAATAATTATAATAAGAGGAGGAGAGCGAGAGTTTGGATCTCGCACCGAAGGAAAAGAACCCGGAGAGAAGAAGGGACGCTAGGGGAAGAAAATCCTGATGCCCAGTGATGGCAAACGAGCCGATTATCCTAAATGTCTATGATATGGTAAGTAGAAGCGGAAACGTGAACGTTTTCTTACTTATTTGTTATCACTTGATCTAAGAAGTATGTTTGAGATGAGTATTATTTTGCCAGGACACAACGCTGAAGCGCGTTATAAAATGCGATTTTAATTCCTCGTTGGTTATCAGCACATGTACAATAATGGAAGAAAAACACTTAAAAGCATTTTCGCGTAATTACGAACCACTCTTCAATTCGGCATACTCACACAACACCAAAGCAATTGCCGTTTAATGCAGTTCCATCTTTAGTAATTAGTTTGCTTATCCCCCCTCAGTTGTTTTTTTGCAAAACACAGTGAGTGAGTCATGGTTGCAAGCGGTTGAACCAATTCATGTACGCTTTATTGTCGTATGATCCTTTTCGAAAGGTTTTTGTCTATTTGTATTAGGTCCAACATTGTTTTGGTGTCTGTTCAGTGCAAACAAAATAAGCCGGTTTGCAAATGGCGACAGGAAAAGCAGTGTGAAAAGAATCAAGAACGAAAATTAAGCAACTTGAAACCCACAGCTGATTTGCTAGTCCATATATTTAATCTCCGTTTGTTCTGGCTATGTTTTATGTATCTTCCATGATAGGACTGCCAGAAAACTGGTCCACTGTGGACTACAGACAAAAAACAAAACAAAAAACTAGTAAAAGTTTAGGCTTTATGGGAAGTCACTATTTAACTAAACCTAGTTTTGCATCTTAAGGATTTCAGTTCACTCTAAACACCAAACCAAAAGCAGATGTGAAAGTCGCATGGTAATTTCTACTGCATAGAACGTGCTATCGACTCTTTGTTATAGCATTAGTCTGAGGCTCGATAATTTGAGTCACTATGTTGTCACCATGCTGGGATGAGTCAGTGGGGATGGGTTCTGGAAATTGATGTATTGATGAATCATTGATTGATATGGCTTTAATATGGCTGAAGTACATGCCAGGACATTTAAAGTCTTGCTTCAGGTTATAAAACAGATCGGGGTAGTGCTCTGGGACAGTGTGCATGAACTCCTGGCTGGAAAACCACAACATCCTTTGTATGTACACTTGACTTTTGCTGCATTTAGATGGTGTTATTTCTTTGTGACATGTGCATCGTAAATCATGACGGTCTTCCTTACTTGAACATGTTACTCCCTGGTAAAATATAAATGGCCTTTTTTAGGACTCGATTCTTTTCTTCTTGGTCCTGCTTTTGTTCTATTTATTGATGTCCCTCTGCAGCTGCTGGTCAATATATCTGCAGAGGTTTGGGGTCACATGGGTTGAAATGGATTAACACTGAAAGCCAGAGAGTCATTCAGTAGAAAGAGTAGTGTGTTGCACGATTACAAATTATATACATTGGTATATATTCATTCCTTTCTTCCTTAGGTTCTTATTCTTTATTCCCCTTTTTCTCTCTTCCTGTTCTCTTCATTACTTTCTTTCACTTTCTCTTGCTTTCCACATGACTTGCATTCTCTGTAAAGTCTGAAGAGCTTTTATTTTTGTCTTCCTTCCATTCATGTGAATAGCTGCAGGGGCCGTTGCTTTAAGCAGCTACTCATACACATCTAAAAGACACATGTGTAGGATTTTTAGAATATATTTGAGAATCAACAGTAGAGACGGAAGGACATATTTTGCATACAGAAGAAACTGTGTGGGTTTTTTTTGCTTCTGCCTAACGATCCGCTCTGAACCATGCATATTTGCAATGTTTGTGTGGAAACTGGTGCCGCGGCAAACATTCACACTGTGGCAGGAGTCCAGTCCTTCATTCCAGCACTTTTTAAAGACTTCCTCTTTCTTTTAATCAGACAGTTCAGACCTAAGTACTGTAGGAGGGGTGACCTGCTAGTGGCATGATCACTAACTGGTGGGTACATTTTGCTGTCTGCTGGTTGTTAATTGGCTTCCTTTCCTTCACTTTTGACAGTTGACCTAAATAAAAATCAGTTTTGCTTTGTACATGCATTGACCCCTACAATGATAATAACAGTACAGCAGAACTAATGGTTTTGCACCTCGGTTTGAGTGTAGTTTTTGGCAGGTGTGAAAAAATGCTGTAAACAAAGAATGCTTTTAAAAACAGAAGTGCTAATCATTTATTTTCATCAAGCAACAAAATGGAGTGAATAAACAAAAGAGAAATCTGAATCAAATCAATATTTAGTGTGACCACCCTTTGCCTTCAAAACGGCATCAATTCTTCTAGGCACACACACTTGCACACAGTTTTTGAAGGAACTCATCTGGTAGGTTGTTCCAAACATCTTGGAGAACTAACCACAGATCTTCTGTGTACGTAGGCTTCCTCACATCCTTTTGTCTCCATGTAATCTCAGACACACTTGACTTTCAGTACTTCTTGTTCTTCTTTACGTTGAAGCTAGTTCTTAATGACTTTGGCTGTATATTTGGGGTTGTTGTCCTGCTGCAGAATAAATTTGGGGCCAATCATATGCCCTTTCTGATGGTATTGTGTGAATGATGAGTATCTTTCTATATTTCTCAGCATTGAGAACACCATTAATCCTGACCAAATCTCCAACTCCATCTGCAGAAATGCAGCCCCAAACATTCAAGGAACCTCCACCATGCTTCACTGTTGCCTGCACACACCCATTATGGTACCGCTTTCCAGCCCTTCGATGAACAAACTACCTTGTGCTACTGCCAAATATTTCAAATTTTGACTCATCAGTCCAGAGCACCTGCTGCCATTTTTCTGTACCCCAATTTCTATGTTTTTGTGCATACTTGAGTCGCTTGGCCTCGTTTCCACATCGGAGGTATCGCTTTTTGGTTGCAGCTCTTCCATGAAGACCACTTCTGGCTAGTCTTCTCCGGACAATAGCTGGGTGTACTTGGATCCCACTGGTTTCTGCCAGCTCTGAGCTGATGGCACTACTGGATATCTTCTGATTTTGAAAGGTAACAAGCTTGATGTTCTTTCATCTGCTGCACTAAGTTTCCTTGGCCAACCACTGCGTCTACGATCCTCAGCGTTGCCAGTTTCTTTGTGCTTCTTCAAAAGAGCTTGAACAGAACATCTTGAAACCCCAGTCTGCTTTGAAATCTTTGTCTGGGAGAGACCTTACTGATGCAGTAAACTACCTTGTGCTCGTTGATGTGCTCAATCTTGCCATGAAATGAAACTCTTTCACAACCTCACCTTTGTAGCAGAGGCTGTTCCTCACCCAGTTTTAAGCCTCCGACACAGCTGCTTCTCTTTCAGTTAATGACTGTTTCAACCTACGTGCGACATTGATGATTATTAGCACCTGTTTGGTATAATTGGTTGATCATACCTCTGACTATGATCCTACAAAATCCCTGAATTTGTGCAAGTGTACCTATAGGAATTGATGCTGGTAGTAACACCAAATATTGATTAAAAAAAACAGATTAAAAATATATATTATTTATATTTCTGGAACCATTCTTTGTCTACCACCATTTTTTCACACCTGCCTAAAACTGTGTATAATACTTCACTTGTATGGAAGTTCTGTGTAAATGTGTTTTGCATTCAAGGGAAAAAACATGCTCTACTGCACCATAGATCAATTCCAGTTAGTGTTGTTTGACTGATTTGCTTGGAGGCTGGTTGAGTCACTTGGTGGGGGACCATCAGTTTATAGATTGAGTCACTGTTACTGGGCCACCAGTAACAGGGTTTTCTTTTACTTGTGTTCTATGCATATTTTAGCCATGAATCTTTACCAGTACCAAGTACCAGTCCACATTGGAAAGATACAAGTAGAAGTTATCTGTGGAGCTTTTTCCCCCCCATTATATGCTAGCTTGTCTGCCACTGATGTTGCATTAAGTAAAAAGAGAACAACATGAACTGAAGTGAGTGGATCGGACAGCGGATTGACTCATCACTGATACCAGTCCAGTGTTTTTGGGTCACTATCAGACCAAATATCAGGTAGATACATCCCCAGTGTACAGTAATTTAAAGATTTTCCCAAATGTTTTTTTTTTTTTCTGTTTTTGTGCACATTTTTCCTTTAAAACATCAATTATTATATTAACAGTACATAATAATCTAACAATCAAGCCCAGATGGGTGCATTTGTAAAGTTTGGAGAAAAGCAGACTATCTAAGCTAAGTGATTTAGCTTCATGCTTTGCAAATGCATCATAACTCCTAAATAAGAAAAGTTGTGGCAGTGTATTTCCACAATAACTCTCTTTTTGAGCTGGAATAAAATGTTAATATTTTAGTTAAATAAAAAAATAAAAATTGGATTTCTATGAGGCTATCGTTTTAGCTTACAAAATGTAATCTTGGATTTAAGGAAACTGGAGAAGAACAGAGCACTGATAGATGAGGACAAGCTTCTTTTACTAACTTGGACTCATGTTGTACTGTTTTTTCTGATGTTCCCAAAATTCCAGTTAGAATATTTTACCATCCAAAATATTCTTTAAGGACAAAAAAAAAGTCAAAACACTTTAAGGACAGAAGAGATGGCTCTGTTGTTTTGATCTTGTGAGTAGGGATGGGTATCGTTTAGGTTTTATCCGATACCAGTACCAAACCGGTACTTTTGAAATGGTGCCCATGCTTAAACGGTGCTCGAACCGGTGCTTAAAGAATGAAGAACACAAACTTTGTCCAAAAATCTCTCATGTTTAACGGTTTCCCACTTTTTCTTTGGTCATTTTAGCCTTTTTGGCCAGGGTGAAGGGAGTATCTGCCATTAAACAAGAAGACAGCTGCATGTAACTACGACGGTGTTTGCTAGTTCACCTTACATGCGTTAATTTAATAACGTGGTTAGCCTACTCAGCGTAAATTACACACGAACAACATTAAGCTACTGACTCAGAGAAGAACGGCTGCTGCTGCATCATCATCCGTCATCATTTCTGCTACACTGGCAGGGCTAGGGGCCAGGACTCTACTCTTCGGGTTTTTGGGGGATGTTGCTAACTCCGGGTCCGATAACAGGCACCACACCCGCAGTAGATGTGCTCGATGTGAGGTCTCGCAG